AGATGAAGGTGGTTTGCACGGTTTACACAAATGAAGGCGGTTTTCATATGATCACTCCTCTATATATATATATATAAACGATACTTGGGGTCATGTCTGTGAGATCATATTGGAGCCCTTGGATAAGTTGATCTCGTCAACTCTTGGTGGCAGAAAGTTGAATCTTCACGATAAAAAATAAACTAAACCTTCATAGTAAATCAATTGAACTTCTCATAAAAAAACACATGAAATAGACATTAAACTTTTACAAGGAAAACATATCGAACCTTCATAGGAAATACATACATATATATGGGGCTAATGTCACAAAATGTTACAAAATTAAGAACCAGTGTATCATGTGTTATTTCATATTGAGATTTTTTTATGTAAGACTAGAATTTATGTTATTGATTGACATACATTTTGAAACTTTTGTATCTGTTGTGAAAAAATATATCCAAAAAAGTTTCACAATGTGAAACAAATACATTTAAAACAATGTCAATATTACAATAAATTAAATTCCAGTGTTAGATGAAGGTCATGTAAAACAAAACATTACTGTAAAAGTTCTTACCTTTCTCAACCTTTTATGATTCTCGTTTTAATTATTCCCCCTAGGGTTGTACATGAGTTGAGTTGGTCGAGTTAAAGGTATTTGAATAACTCAATGCAATGTTTGCGGTTTGAGAAATCTCAACCAAACCCAAGAAAAACTACAACACAACCCAACCCAAACCGTGCAGGTTGGGTTGAAACTTTGGTACATAATTTATAATCTCGTTAACATTTGTGTTTAGACCAAGTAAAATCAAAATGAGAAGATACAAAAAAGACTAACAAACTAAAAAAATTGAAGATTCATGCAAATAAGAAAACAAAATTATGGTTGAATTTGTAACATAATTTTGAATATAACTAAAGGTTGGTCTAATGTCCAATGTACATATATTATGAAGAACTTAACATATTAAATTCGAAATTGAAAAAGGCATCAGATTCATCGAGTTGGGTGGGTTTAAGTTACCTTAACCCCATTCTAACCCAATAGATGTGTTTGTCGTAACTTTGTATCAACTATATGCCGGGTTAATTCAAGTTGAAGTTTTTGGGTTTTTTTTCATGTTGGGTTGGTCAGTATTTTTAGCATCCCTAATTCCCCTCTATACACACATGTGCGCGCGCACACACACACATACACACACACACACACATATATATATGTATGTATATATATTACGGTAAGAGAGAGAGAGTAATGATCATTTATAAGCATAATAGTTGTTACAAACTTATAAATCAGTTTTCATATATTGAAATAATTCGTGTGAAAATGCAATGTTTATATAATGTTATTTGATAAATAAAATGTTCAGTACTATTTTACATGTTAAAAGAACAGTAATGAATTATGAAATAAAATTTTATAAAAATCATTTTTACATGTGTTGTTTCATATACATAAAAACTTGTTTGAAGGTATAACATTAATTAAGCTTATGAAAAAGCAGATTATATTCATTTAGAACTCTTAAATATTTTAAAAACCTCAAATCCCATCTATTTTGTATTTATAATGAATAACCTAATAAATATTAATAAATAAATAGTATATAATATAAGATAGATGGTTATTCAATTTTTAAAAATATTTAAAATTCGTAAATCAAATTTCACACATACACACACACATATATATATATATATATATATATATACACGATCTAGAGCAATAGAAAAAAAGATTACAATAAAGATTACAAAATTATTTCAAGCACCGACAGAACCGGAAACGCCCCTTCTTTCAAAGAGAAGATGACGGATTATATGCACACAGACTTGGGATCATGTGAGACCGAGGGTTTTTCGTGAGACCCGTAAGACCAATTCTCAAACATTGGATTAGATCTACAATTTGAACATTTATAATCACAAAATTGCCATCTCAATAATCACAAAACTGCCACCGTGCAACTTTAGACAATTAGATCATTAGCTTATAAAGTGATCAATGAACATAAATTGGTCTTACAAGTCTCACGAAAAACCCTTGGTCTCACGTGAACCCAACCATATATATATATATATATATATATATATATATGGGCTTGTTCAAATGTTAACCAAATTTATTGTGTTAAAATTTTGATTATATTAAAATTTTAATTTATTAAATTTACAATTTCACAAACATATGTAAACAAAGTGAAAAAAGGTACTTATGTAAAATATCATGTGCTTTTGATACTATCAGTTATTAAAACAGTAAATATCGTTACCAAAGTGTCTTGAAGTATCTCGGAACATGTATGAACACAACATGAACAATTATGAACACAATAAAAATAACTGCTACACAAAAGGTAAGAAATAAAAATAACAGTTATGAACACAATATGAACAGCTCGTGAATAATAATTTCTTCATTATGAACACATTCAAGAGCCACCCACTGTTAAGAAATGCAACTAGTCTACATATGAACACAATACGAACAGCTTGTGAACAATAGTTCTTTCATTATGAACACAAACCGACATATACGAAATCTTTCAATCAGTTATGAACACATGTGGAACCTGTGTCGATTATACAACCATATGCAAGATGATGAACGACCCATATGAACAAGTACATACACATATGGTCTTATCGAGAGAGGTCTAGAACATATATGATCACAACATGAACGTATACATTTATACACATTTTGATGTTCACATGTTCACATAATTGGATATTCAATAATAAGTTAACAAAAATCATATAATTTTATGATTCTGTAACTCCTAATTAATGATATGAGAGTTACATAATTTTTTTTTACATATTTACCCTTGTTATTTAGATTCTAAGATGGATAGAAACCTACATATAAGATGAATTGTCACTGATTGAAAATGGTTAACAAAGTTAACACAATAAACTTGATTAAATTTGAACCAATATATATATATATATATATATATATATATAATATGTGATGGAAGTTGTGAAGAGAATGTTTTAATATAAAATATTGCATGGAGTCAAACTTAATGTAAAAAGGTTAAAGATGAAAGCATGAGTCAAACACATAAATGGCATGGTTAGAATTGAATTAAAGGGAGGGCGTATTCCAAAATCAATAAAAAGACCGCAATATACCAAACACAAGAAAACAAGCCAAATAATCCCTATATAAATTATTTATGTAAATACTTAAAAATATTTATTATTAATGTCAAACCAAAATAAATCAATAAATTATTTTTATAAATAATCTTAAACACATCAAAGTTTAGAGTGGGTGTATTCCAAAATTAATAAAAAGACCGCAATATACAAACACAAGAAAACAAGCAGACTGACACGGTGGTATTTCTGAGAATTATTATAACATACTGTCCTCATGTGTAATTTAATTATTTATTTAAAAGCCCCCGCTTAAAAAAGAAATCATCATCATCTGTCCCCTCTCTCTCTCTCTCTCTCACACCCACACACACTGCTGTGTGTGTATTCTTCCCACTCTATTTCCTAATTCCTACTGCAATTTTCATTATTTAATTTGGAATCCAGCTCAACTATGGAGTATATCATGTTTGCGTCTCCATAATTAAATGCTACTTATTTTCCAGGTGAGAGTTTTTCGCTTTAAATGCGCTCTCTTCAAGTCAATTTCTGCTGCGTAAAGTTGAGTTTTGAGATCTGTTGTATCCAAGGATTCTAGTCAGGAAAATGTGGGTACAGCTTTGCCCCAGACTTCCCTTTACAGTTCGTCAGGGGAATTCAAGTTAGTTCCAAGCTCTGATGGCGACGATGGAGCTTCGTATTTGAGCTTCAAAGGCTAAGTTTCTCGTGATGTTTCAAGGTGCATTGCCATCACTGTTCGTGTGATTTTGTTCTTTGGAAAGTTTGTTTCATTTATATGCAAGTTTCTTAGATTGATGTTTTTTCAATTGTGATTCTGTTCGGTTAAAATTTCATCTTACATACATGCAATTTTAAAATTTTGTTATGTTAGGTTAAATGTGTCTGTTTTTTTTTTTGGCTAGAAGTTCATGTCCTGGTATGCAATTTTTACGAATTAATTGTTCTAGGTTCTACCCTGTTCGTGCATTTTATAATATACGTATTTTAGGTTAAAATTATTGTAAGAGTGCTTTTACATATCAATATGTAAGGATTAAATTGTGTGCTTGTGATTTTGATTGGGGGGTGGGGGTGCAAAATAGGCAATGTTTGATCTCAAGTAAATAAAGATGAAATTTGGTAGCTGAAAATTCAGAAGTTCTATCTTTTTTAAATTGAAAAAAATATTAGTATGTGAATGGTGTTGCTTAAAACTTGTACACAGACTTGAAATGTTGGAGTAGTACTGGTTTATTTTTCTTATCTCAAGTGATTATGAGTTTTTCCTGGTAAGTTATTAGGTAAATTGTAATTGTAGCGATAAAGAGAGAACTTGGTACAAGGCAACCAACAAAGTTTAATTGATTTGGAGGTGATAGAAATTTGGTGGATCGCCAGATCCATCTAACCTTGAACCTAATTTACATTCTACAATTGAACTCTTACAAAATAAGTTAGATAGCTAGGAGAGATACATGCCTTTTCACCCTTTGGATGACAAGTAATTGATGCCAAGGGGTTCCAGTTTTTCTTCATTTGATTTGATTTTTGACACCATTAGAGTTGTAGTAATCCGAAATGTTCGGTGGTAAGTTCACCAATTGCAGATTTCTTGCTATAAAAATCTTGCTTCATTCATTTTACTAGTGTTATGAAATAATGCCATCTGGGATTCTGGTTAACAATATACTGGAATCCTGAACCCACTGCTCTATTAAAGAAATGCATACCTCCTTTTGGCTTTTCTTTTATTTGGTTGATTTTGTCTAGGTGGAAGAAAAATCAAGTGTTACCCTTTTGCTCTTTCCAACTTTCCCTTGTTAATACCTTTTTTGCTTCTTGCTTTCAATATTAGCTACCTTTTCCCGACTTTATTTTTTCTTTATTGGGAATGGATGCTTTGGGAAGTGAACTGCAATAGCATAACAATTTACCTGGCTTGTATTTTCAACTATACACTATTTTGTCGAGATTCTATGAGTTTTTTAATCAATTAGCAAGACACCAGGATTTCTGGCACTGCTGTGTCTACATGATGAAACCTGGCACATAACCTTGAAGAATGTCCCTTACTATATGTAAGAATGTTTCACTCAGCTGTTGTGTATAGGTATTGGCAGCTGGCTTGTCCCCTATATTAGGCCTGTGGAAGCACCTTGCTTATTTTTGAGTGGGCTTGTAATTTATTATCAGCAGATCGTGGTCTGTCATTCCTACAATTAAATTTATGTGTACATCAGAAGATGTAAGGTTTCACTGATGCCATGAAGAAGACTCTGGCATTCTGCTTGTATTGTGTTCTTGTTAGGTAGCTCTTTGTAATTAGTGAGTTAATGAGAAATATGTGGCAACTTTTTATGTTTTGACAGCATAATTCTTGCATGAGAGGGAAAGACCACCCACCCTTTTTATCCTCATCAAACAGAAGTGGTTGAAGCCTTTTGGGGTAGGAATTTCACATTGATGTTCTTAACTTATTTTGAGATAGGTTTGTTTCTGTTTAATAAGCTGTTACATTTTGTAAACATCTTGTCTGCTTGTTTTTTCTCTTGTCAAACTTTTTCGTGCTTAGAAACCCTTGTACTTTCAGTTCCTAGCCCTGTCAGATAAATTGCTTCATAATGTCGTTATTTTGCATATTATTTTGTATAATTATTTGGATTCTTTGGTGATCTAAATTTGTTCTATTGTTGATGTCCCAAATCAGGAAAATTACTTCACTTGCATCACCATCAACATTGTACATGTGAACCATTCCTCATGGAACTCTGCTCTGCTCAACTGCTTAAGTTAATCTTCATAGTTTTCCTTCTGCCTCTAGCATGTGCCGACTTGAACTCGGACAAACAAGCTCTTCTTGCATTTGCTGATGCAGTGCCCCATGGTCCAAAGCTCAACTGGAGCAACAATACTGGCATCTGTACTTCTTGGGTGGGCATCAACTGTACTTCTGATGGCAACCGCGTGTTTGCTCTTCGACTTCCTGCCATTGGACTTAAAGGTCCCATCCCATCCAGCACGCTTGGAAAACTTGATGCATTGCAGATTCTCAGCCTTAGATCTAATCGCCTCAATGGAACATTACCATCCGATCTTCTTGCTCTTCCTTCCCTCCATTATCTGTTCCTTCAACGTAATAACTTCACCAGTGACATTCCAGCTTCCTTTCCTCCCCGTCTGATTGTTTTGGATCTCTCATTCAATTCTTTCACTGGCAGTATCCCAGCTGTTATCCAGAACTTAACACAGCTAACTGGATTGAACCTTCAAAATAACTCCCTCTCTGGCCCCATTCCAAATGTTACACTCTCGAGTCTAAAACATTTGAACATAAGCTACAATCATCTCAATGGCTCTATCCCCTCTTCCCTCCACACGTTCCCCAGTTCTTCATTTTTGGGGAACTCTTTCTTATGTGGGCAGCCTCTGAATCCTTGCTCACCAGCATTTCCTCCCTTTCCTTCCCCACCTATTGGCCCTAAAAAACAGAGTTCTAAAAAGAAACTTCCATTGTGGGCCATTATTGCCATTGCAGTTGGAGGCGGTATTTTACTGATACTTTCTGTTGCTATCATACTTTTCTGCTGCTTGAAGAAAAAGAGTAGCGATCCGAGTCATGTGACAAAAGCAAAGTCTTCTGGTGGTGGAAGGGGTGAAAAACCCAGGGAAGAATTCGGTAGTGGGGTGCAGGAGCCGGAAAAGAACAAGCTGGTTTTCTTTGAAGGCTGTTCTTATAACTTTGATCTTGAGGACTTATTACGGGCTTCTGCTGAGGTGCTTGGAAAAGGTAGTTTTGGCACAGCATATAAAGCCATCCTAGAGGAATCAACAACCGTGGTTGTGAAGAGGTTGAAAGAAGTAGTGGTGGGGAAGAAAGAATTTGAACAGCAAATGGAGATTATAGGGAGAGTTGGGCAGCATCAAAATGTTGTCCCTCTTCGTGCTTATTATTACTCCAAGGATGAGAAACTTCTTGTTTATGATTATATCTCAGGGGGTAGCTTGTTGACACTCCTCCATGGTATGCTTTCTCCCTTCTCCTTCACCTTCATATGCTCTTGCGATATTATAGACATAGCAAATATCACTAGGGTATGTTAAGCTACATTTTGCTTACAAGCAAAAATCACCTATTCGTCACAGCTATATACCCATGATTGCAAGTAAAGATAGTAATATGCATCATATATAGTACTTGATATAATTAGATGCAAGGAAAGCAGGTATATTGTTTAGTCTGAGAGTACTTGAACCTTATATTCTGCTTAAGGTCATAGTGAGTGAACTCATTGCAGGCTTAGAGTCAATAAATTTTAGGGCATGACCATCTCCTGAATTATGCAAGTGTTAATATGTGGAACTCCATTAGATTACTTTTCAAAAGAGTCCTGGAGGTTCCAACATATATAGAGGAGAAATGGTCAAGGAGGCCGTTCACCAACAAAAACCAGGTAAGTGTTTACCGGGTAAGGGTCACCACCCACACTTACTATGCCCCCTTCAACAAAGGCTAGATGGGTTCAGATTGTCCTAGAGTGGTAAGAGACATTGGCTCTGATACCATAAGAAAAATTTGTGTAACCCCTGTAGATTACTCTCCAAAAGAGACCGAAGGAGGTCCCAACATGTATTGAGGAGAAATGGTCCAAGTTTAGCCGATGTAGGACTCCAACATTAATGTCTACATGCTGTCTTGTTCCCTCCCTCCTGGCCTTGTGTAGATTCATCCTATTATTAACCCGATAATTTCAACGAAATCACAGGAAACAGGGGCTCGGAAAGAAATCCCGTGGACTGGGAAACCAGAGTCAAAATTGCTCTGGGTGCTGCAAGAGGCATTGCCCATATCCATTCTATCGGAGGTCCTAAATTCACCCATGGAAACATCAAGTCCTCAAATGTCCTCATCAACCAAGACACAAATGGCTGCATCTCCGATATCGGCTTAGCCCCCCTCATGAACTTCCCTCCCGCTTCCTCCCGGCACGCTGTCGGATACCGAGCTCCAGAAGTTCTGGAAACCCGAAAACACACTCACAAATCAGATGTATACAGCTTCGGTGTACTCCTCCTTGAGATGCTGACCGGGAAACAACCTATTCAATCTCCAGGGAGAGAAGACATGGTGGATCTCCCAAGGTGGGTTCAGTCGGTGGTGCGGGAAGAATGGACCGCGGAGGTTTTTGACGTGGAGCTGATGAAATTTCAGAACATTGAAGAGGAGATGGTGCAGATGTTGCAGATCGGGATGGCTTGTGTGGTGCGGGTCCCAGATATGCGACCGACGATGGATGAGGTGGTGAGAATGATCGAAGAGGTTCGGGTATCTGACTCTGAAAACCGACCGTCTTCGGATGATAACAAATCCAAGGAGCAGACCCCTTGAATTGAGCATGTAAGTTTGTGAAGAAAGAATAAAATTTATTTGATGTGTACATGCATGGACTTGTGCAAAGATTGAATTAGTTTTACTTCTCGCTTGGAGGGCTTTTGTGTCCCCTTCCCGTTTGTTGCAAGATTTTTATAAGACTTTCTTAGTGATATTGATGGAAAGTGGAAGCCGTCTCATTAATTGGACAAACCAAATACTTTTTTTTTATATTAACCTGGATATTCAACCCGCTATGCGAACCGACTAATCTCAAGATGACCACCTGCTTTGCAGATAGTCCGGAGTCACTGCATTTGAACCTCCGTGGGATTTTATTTCCTCCTTGGATTTGAACCTGGGACCTCCTGGTATTTTTGACCTTTGGAGCCAAGCTCAAACCAATCGAGCACCATGCATGTGGTTACAAACCAAATACTTTAGCGTAATTTGATCAGGACTTGCACGTTTATTAACTACAAATATTTTCTGACGGACCAAGGAAAATATTAGTTCATAAAAAGACTTAATTTATGGTTCAATTTCTTTTTTGAATTGTATGACAAATTCAAGGAGAATGCTTTCTAATGCACCAACCCAATCCGTCCTAACCAGCAAAGATTGGTTTGGGTTTATACTTTTGAAGGAGTTAGGTTGGTTGAGATTTAAATTTCACAAAGCCAACATACACACTTGTTTGTTATTATAGTCTATTAATTATTTAACATACTCATACCCTAAAATATAGTACGGAGCATCTATTGAAATTCCTGTTGTTCCAAGAACTGATGACATCCTTACAATTCCAGCTTCAAAGATCAGAAAAGATAAAAAATGTTACTCTGATCTTAAAGAAAGAAAGCAGTTGTAGAAAAGAGAGCTCTAACTTTGTTAACAATGTTTTGTCAAATGAAAATTTTAACAGAGTAGACAATTTGAAATCTGCTAAAGATATGTGGGATGGAGTGGAATCACAGATGCAGAGCAGCGCCAAGGCTTTCAAGTTAAGTAATTAACAGTGCTTTGCCTAAGCTTTTGGACTTTTATGAATATTCGATCTTATGATACATGAAAAATTAGTCAGCCGTATTTCTTGTGAGTTAATGAGTTTTCAGAACATGCACATAATATCATAAAATTGTAGTTTACAGCTAATAAAACAAATGCATATAATAAAGCATTGTATTAGTCGAGATCTCTTTAATGGTATATGCATAATGTGATTTACATTGTGGTCATAAATCATCCATATTGTGTTATAGTGCACATGTGACTTACTCACATGCACCATCCACTAAATTTAGTTGCATATTTTTCATAAATTGTCATTGAGTTCTAGAGCATAACCGAACTTCGCATCCTGAGTAGAGAAGTACCCAAATTGTCCCATATGTCGAGATTTTTATGTGAAAATGGGCTCGATCAAGCTAGTTTAGTCCGAACCTTTTTTGGGTTATGAAAAAAAACTTGGGCCAATTGGGGTTTTTAGGCCAACGCCTGGGCTTCGAGTTTACTAGGCTCACGCTTTTTCAGGTCGGACTTCTAGCTTTTTATGCATCCCTTTAATTCCGAGCATATCCTTAGGTGGACCAATAAAATGTTTCATGCACATAAACTTTATAACATAACATAGATAATAAGATATGACATAATTTATATGAACGAATGACATAATACATAACATATATCTCAATTTTCACAAAGATCATGAAAAGCTCACATTGATTGGCTTAGTGTTCGGCTAACTCATGTCTAATAATCCTTATTAAATAATTGAACTTATATTTATATTTAAGGCTTAGGGCATTTGGTTAGCAGATTCTGAAGAAATCTGATGGAATTGGAATGTTAAATTCCATTGACCAAATTCCATTCTCTCGTTGGTTCATTATTTTTCACGAAAGTAATCTTTAAAATCCGACAAATTCCACAAATAAAGGAATTTAACATTCTTTAGCAACTACATGGTATTATGATGGAATGAAATTTTCTATTTTCATAATACCAAATATGCCCTTAACCCAATATAACCTAATCTCGTAAAACCCAATATGATCATTGTCGACCACCTTCGACCACCGTGGATCTGAACCACCGCCGACCATCGCCATCTAAATCACCGCCTACTACCACCGAACTGAACCATCGCCGAGCACCACCGATATGAACCATTACTGATTTGAACCACTGCCGACCACTACCGATCTAAACCACCGTCGGCCACCGCTGATCTAAACCACCACCGATTTGATCCACCGTCGATCCGAACCACCGCCAATCATCGCCATCTGAACCACCACGGATCTGAACCATTGTCGACCATCACCATCTAAACCACCACAGACCACCACTGATCTGAATCACCGTCGGCCACCTCCGTTCTGAATCATCGCCGACCATCACTGATTTGATCCATTACCGATCTGAACCATCGTCGATCTGAACCACATCCAACCACCAGCCACTACCACCAATATGAATCACCACCGCCGACCACCAATGATTTGAACAACCACCAATCTAAACCATCATCGATCTTAACCACCGCTGATCTTAACCACATCCGACCACCGCCACCTGAAGTATCACGGACCACCACCAATCTAAACCACCGTCGACTACCATCGATCTAAATCACCGACGACCACCAACAATAGGAACAACCACCGACTTGAACCACCGCCGCCACTGCCGATCTGAATCACCACTGACCACCTCCATCTGAACCATCGCAGGACCACCATCGATCTGAACCACTACCGACCACCACCGATTTGAACGACCATGGACCACCACCGATCTAAACCACCGTCGACAATGTTGATTTAGTAACGTCGTTTGGCTTATGTTTATATTTGGGTTGTGTATTTTATATTATTTCACATATTAAATAATTATTTTGTTAAAGTATTTTTTAGTTTAAAAAAAAAATATTTTTTTACAAAAAAAGGCATTTTGGTCATTTGCCAATATTTTATTCCAATTCCAAAGCTACATTTTGTGGACCAAACAGACAGATTCCAATTCATTAATAGATTCCATTCCAATGTCTGTGAACCAAACAGCTGGTCAAACCTGACAACATTCCATTCCAATTCCTTCAGAGTCAAATTTCTTTAACATATTTCATTTCATCCAAAAACATTTCTACAAACCAAACGACACCTTAAACTTTCAAGGAACTTTTTTTTTCAAACAGTTATATAAAAAAATTCTGTTATCATATAATAGTTTTTATTTAATATCACGATAATTTGAGATCTCAATTAATTCAAAACAACTATAACACTTAAATTTGGAATAACAACTAATTTATTATTTGATTTATCTTAACAAATAGTTTGATCTTTAATTGTCATTTGCTTAAAGTACATGTTATTTTAAATTGGACAAATTATAAATCAAACAAACTTTAATTCAATTTCTATTTAGAAAATATATTAAAAAAATACATGTAGTATCTCCAATTAAAGTTGACATAGCGTAAATGATATTTCACGTGCTTATGAAAATACGTTTCTCGAAATAATTTTAAGTTACATACTGTTAAATATAACTTTATTTTATCCTATATTGACATTTATGAACTTTAGTTTTATGTTTTTAGGATTGTTGGTATAAAAGGGTTGATTCAGTGAAGGTGCAAAACAAGGAGGGCTGAGTTGAAGCTGCTAAAGTTCTAGAAGGATAGCGAAGCATAAATTGATAAAGTTGAAGGGTAAAAATTGTAACTTCTTGTTATATATATACATCCGTCCGCCATTTGAAGAATCAGATCGTCACTTTGTTCTACATCAAAATTCTGAGAGATTTTCCGTCTTCTTAGAGAGATTTTATTAGTGTTTCTTTCTAGCTTTTGATTACTATATTTTAAGTTTGTATGCTCGTACATGGTATCAGAGCAACGTGGGTTGTCCTGGTGGCTGTTCATCTTCTCCGTCGTCCTCTAGACGATTGTTTGTTCTCTCGAGGACTATTTCTCCAGGATCTGGTTGTATTTGGTAAGTTCGAGCTGTTTTGTTCTAATCGGGGACTTTCTCTCTGGTTTTTGTACCTAATTCAAGTAAGTTTTTCAGATCTCTTCTCCTGTTTAGACTTGGCTATTCTCGTTTGTTCTTCTCTCGATGAACAACCTTGTATTTTGTTCATGTAGCGATCTTGTATAACTTTTTTGGCTTGCATGTAATATGTAGTTACGTTTATCAAGCTTGGTTAGACGGATCTATATCTTGTTTTTAATCAAGGTTTTGTAACCAAGAATCATCTCCTCATTGAGTGAGATTTCTATTTCCCCTTTTTTGAGTTGTGACCAACTCATTTTTTCTTGTGGGGCTTGGATCCTTTGTGTCTTGTTCTTTCGAAGAACATGGTTCTTTGGTGTTTTTTATACAGGCTCTTGGTCCTGTGTTGTTGGGTTAGTTTGTTTCTTGTGGTTTTGTTGTTACTAAACCCTGCTTAAAGTCTTCTGTTATGGTGCTTGGGTCACCACTTGGTTTTCGTTCCGCTGCATTCTGGTTAAAAGGATTTCTGTAAGTCTTCTCTTCCTTCCCTATCGATAGCAAGATCAATGAGTCAGTGCTCTTGGCCTATAGGTAGGATCCTTTTATTGTTTATTTCTTTTCTTATTGTGTGGTTGTTATCTGTTCTTGTTCGTGCTTTGTGTGTTCTATGTGGCTGGATAATTGGCTTGACCTAGCACATCTCAGTGTTTTAGGAATCATGCTTCTTGCTATATTGTCCACTTCTTGTTTTTTTAATCTATTTCCTCTTAAAATGGTTGGTCCGACTGCTGTCATTGAGAGCCACGAAGTATCCCAAATCGCAAAATTGGATTTTGGGGACCCTTTGTACTTATATCCCAATGACACCAGTGCAACCCCTATCTTAAATATGAAATTAAATGGAACTGACAATTATAAAATATGGGCTTTTGCTATGACCTTGGGTCTTGAAACCAAGAACAAACTTGGATTTTTGATGGATTATGTGTAAGACCAAACGATGACCCTGTTCTTCGAGAACAATAGACCAAATGTAATTCTGTTGTCCTAAGTTGGATTTAAGTGTTGTCACTGAGGATCTATTTTTGGGACAAGTTTTTTTTCCGAAAGTCTCTTCTAAGGTTTGGGAGGAATTGAAAGAAACCTATGACAAGCTTACTTAAGTCAAAATGGGTCCTCTATTTCAGAATACTATCACAAGCTCAATTCCTTGT